TCGCGTGCGAAATACGCATATGTCGGAGAGCGCACGTTAACTTCCTAAATTAAGTTAGTAAGTAATTTTTAAATAAGGTATTATAACAGCCAACGAATATTTCAGATATTCACTAAGAATGTCGTCAAGACCAGAGGTTTTAATATTTTTCGGGGCACTGATACTTTCAAAAAGTTCGGATCTGGTGATTGGAGAATCTAATATATCAATTGTTAGTTTTTGCTCATAACCTTGACATGTCACCATATCCTCCACCTCACCAAGATCATCCTGAATACCAATCTGTTCGGAATACAGCGACGAGAAATAATCCCCCAGTCTTGTATATCAGTAGGGTTGGGGCGTTGCGGTCGTCCAGATACACGCTTTATAATGTCCCAGATACGTTTTGAGTCTCCCGCTGCAGCATTTTCTAGGTCACTCCTTTTATATTGTGCATATTGGTCCTTCTCTAATCTACATAGAGATCTGTATTCATTGCAAACTTTGTTATACTTAATAAGAATTGAGTTATCTTTAGTTTTTCTAAACGCATTTAAATAATGGCACCGTTCATAATTTTTACAGAGACATTCATCATCATACCACAGTGAACGTCTATAGTTATCGGTCACTCGTGTCTTCATCACAGAAGCGGCTGATAAAAAAGCATCAGGTAATAACGCGACTGCACCAGACATGTTTGGAAGAGAACAGAGTGCTGCCTTCTTTAATAAGTCTGCTGTCTACCCCATTTTGTCTATCTTTGTTCTCATACCAGGTCGATCTCTCCGATTGGATATATGTAAACACAGATACTGTATCTTTATCGAAACCAAACATACTTTTATCAAACAGAATAGGCATAGCATTTTCTCCATATATAACACCAATAATATATCTTACCAGTGAATATTTTATCAAAACCACTATTCCTCCCGAATACCTCCCGAACTGGGACACTTTTGTGGCAGGTAAACAAAAACGTTTATACTCTGAAAATATGTCACTAAAGTCATTTTCTATTGTCCGTGTTTCACGTAGGGAAACAATGTCATGTTATGATACAAAAGAAACAGTCATTATCGGACAGTTTGTTGATTAAACCTTCTATATTCCAAGTAATGCAAGATATGCCTTTGCCTGTTGACTCGCTATAACAGCCCAGGCCACCCCGCTGTTTCCCTGTGGCTGAGTTAAGCTTTGACCTTGATCTCAGCACCCGCTCCTGGTCCACAGTTGATGACGTTCCGCTTGAGTTGCGATCTGCAAGCTTGAGTCGCGATCTGCAACTGGAGCCGACGACTGATGATCAATACCATCCAGGCCAGTAGCTGGCATGTCCTCAATAACGAGCCTGCCACTATTATGTGGCTGCAGTGGATATACAGGAGAAGTATGTAATGCCTAATGAAGCTGTAGTGGATATACAGGAGAAGTATGTAATGCCTAATGAAGCTGTAGTGGATATACAGGAGAAGTATGTAATGCCTAATGAAGCTGTAGTGGATATAAAGGAGAAGTATGTAATGGCTAATGAAGCTGTAGTGGATATACAGGAGAAGTATGTAATGCCTAATGAAGCTGTAGTGGATATACAGGAGAAGTATGTAATGCCTAATGAAGCTGTAGTGGATATAGAGGAGAAGTATGTAATGCCTAATGAAGCTGTAGTGGATATACAGGAGAAGTATGTAATGCCTAATGAGGCTGTAGTGGATATAAAGGAGAAGTATGTAATGCCTAATGAAGCTGTAGTGGATATACAGGAGAAGTATGTAATGGCTAATGAAGCTGTAGTGGATATACAGGAGAAGTATGTAATGCCTAATGAGGCTGTAGTGGATATACAGGAGAAGTATGCAATGCCTAATGAGGCTGTAGTGGATATAAAGGAGAAGTATGTAATGGCTAATGAGGCTGTAGTGGATCTAAAGGAGAAGTATGTAATGCCTAATGAGGCTGTAGTGGATATATAGGAGAAGTATGTAATGCCTAATGAGGCTGTAGTGGATATATAGGAGAAGTATGTAATGCCTAATGAGGCTGTAGTGGATATAAAAAAGAAGTATGTAATGCCTAATGAGGCTGTAGTGGATATACGGGAGAAGTATGTAATGCCTAATGAGACTGTAGTGGATATAAAGGAGAAGTATGTGATGCCTAATGAGGCTGTAGTGGATATATAGGAGAAGTATGCAATGCCTAATGAGGCTGTAGTGGATATAAAGGAGAAGTATGTAATGCCTAATGAGGCTGTAGTGGATATACAGGAGAAGTATGTAATGGCTAATGAAGCTGTAGTGGATATACAGGAGAAGTATGTAATGCCTAATGAGGCTGTAGTGGATATACAGGTGAAGTATGTAATGCCTAATGAGGCTGTAGTGGATATAAAGGAGAAGTATGTAATGCCTAATGAAGCTGTAGTGGATATACAGGAGAAGTATGTAATGCCTAATGAAGCTGTAGTGGATATAAAGGAGAAGTATGTAATGCCTAATGAGGCTGTAGTGGATATACAGGAGAAGTATGTAATGCCTAATGAGGCTGTAGTGGATATACAGGAGAAGTATGCAATGCCTAATGAGGCTGTAGTGGATATAAAGGAGAAGTATGTAATGGCTAATGAGGCTGTAGTGGATCTAAAGGAGAAGTATGTAATGCCTAATGAGGCTGTAGTGGATATATAGGAGAAGTATGTAATGCCTAATGAGGCTGTAGTGGATATAAAAAAGAAGTATGTAATGCCTAATGAGGCTGTAGTGGATATACAGGAGAAGTATGTAATGCCTAATGAGACTGTAGTGGATATAAAGGAGAAGTATGTGATGCCTAATGAGGCTGTAGTGGATATATAGGAGAAGTATGCAATGCCTAATGAGGCTGTAGTGGATATAAAGGAGAAGTATGTAATGCCTAATGAGGCTGTAGTGGATATACAGGAGAAGTATGTAATGCCTAATGAAGCTGTAGTGGATATAAAGGAGAAGTATGTAATGCCTTATGAGGTTGTAGTGGGTATACAGGAGAAGTATGCAATGCCTAATGAGGCTGTAGTGGATATAAAGGAGAAGTATGTAATGCCTAATGAGGCTGTAGTGGATATACAGGAGAAGTATGCAATGCCTCATGAGGTTGTAGTGGGCATAATGGAGAAGTATGCAATGCCTTATGAGGCTGTAGTGGGCATAATGGAGAAGTATGCAATGCCTCATGAGGTTGTAGTGGGCATAATGGAGAAGTATGCAATGCCTCATGAGGTTGTAGTGGGCATAATGGAGAAGTATGCAATGCCTTATGAGGTTGTAGTGGGCATAATGGAGAAGTATGCAATGCCTTATGAGGCTGTAGTGGGCATAATGGAGAAGTATGCAATGCCTCATGAGGTTGTAGTGGGCATACAGGAGAAGTATGCAATGCCTTATGAGGCTGTAGTGGATATACAGGAGAAGTATGTAATGCCTAATGAGGCTGTAGTGGACATACAGGAGAAGTATGTAATGCCTCATGAGGTTGTAGTGGACATAATGGAGAAGTATGCAATGCCTTATGAGGCTGTAGTGGACATAATGGAGAAGTATGCAATGCCTTATGAGGTTGTAGTGGGCATAATGGAGAAGTATGTAATGCCTAATGAGGCTGTAGTGGACATACAGGAGAAGTATGTAATGCCTCATGAGGTTGTAGTGGACATAATGGAGAAGTATGCAATGCCTTATGAGGCTGTAGTGGACATAATGGAGAAGTATGCAATGCCTTATGAGGTTGTAGTGGGCATAATGGAGAAGTATGTAATGCCTTATGAGGCTGTAGTGGGCATAATGGAGAAGTATGCAATGCCTCATGAGGCTGTAGTGGATTACAGGAGAAGTATGCAATGCCTTATGAGGTTGTAGTGGACATACAGGAGAAGTATGCAATGCCTTATGAGGTTGTAGTGGGCATAATGGAGAAGTATGCAATGCCTCATGAGGCTGTAGTGGGCATAATGGAGAAGTATGCAATGCCTCATGAGGCTGTAGTGGATTACAGGAGAAGTATGCAATGCCTTATGAGGCCGTAGTGGATATACAGGAGAAGTATGTAATGCCTAATGAGGCTGTAGTGGACATACAGGAGAAGTATGCAATGCCTTATGAGGCTGTAGTGGATATACAGGAGAAGTATGCAATGCCTTATGAGGCTGTAGTGGATATACAGGAGAAGTATGTAATGCCTAATGAAGCTGTAGTGGACATACAGGAGAAGTATGTAATGCCTCATGAGGCTGTAGTGGACATAATGGAGAAGTATGCAATGCCTCATGAGGTTGTAGTGGGCATATAGGAGAAGTATGTTATGCATCCTGAGGCTGTAGTGGATATACAGGGGAAAACTAGCTTGCTCATGTTCAAACATGAGTAAAAGGCTTTCTGGAAAGATTGTGATTTATCTGGTGAGCCGTACCAAAGTCACAAACTGACCACAGGGAATCATGCAAAGACATAATGAGCTGCAGTGCCTTTATTGAGAGGACACCGGTAAGTCTCGACCATGCCAGTGGCGCCGGGAGTCCAAGGAGTTAACTGTCACCCTGCAACTACGGCAGTGTTTGCCTTTTACAAGTACAAGCACACAGTTTTATGCAGTTGTTCCAGTGATTAATACAAAGGTACAATAGTCACTTGGTTGCCGTTAAATCTGAACAATGGCATGGTCGGACACAGCAGTGATCATAAAGATGTGTGACTTGAAATGTGCAATGTCATTTGGTTGAAGTTAAATCAATCGATTGACATTTGCATGATGGAACGTTTGAATTATTAATTATTAATTTAGAAGCTCAGACTGGAAATTCCTAGCAGGTGACATGCTGCACGGTGCGTCGGCCACTGGTGCGGCGGCTCCAGCAATAGAACCCTTGCAATATTGATTATATTTGTTCCCTCCCAACTGGAACGGAGAATAAAGACTACACGCATCACCAACTAATACCTTTCATGGCATTGCCATATTTCTAGGAATCAGCGCTTCTCTGGGAAAGCTGTTGTTCAATATTAGGCAAAATCATTATTACCATAGTGACAGCAAAACAAAATCGTCATTACCCCAGTAACAGTAAACAAGTTGCGCCATGAGTATAACTAACCATCTGGAAACAGACCTCGGCTTATAGTGTCCACTGGCTGGGACGCACAGAAACAAGGTATGCAATTATATTTTAATATTTGTTTAATAGTCATCTAATCAAGAACGGATGATAGGTAGGAATACAATTCTCAATTAGTATACTTTTCCATGGGCTTCACTTAAATTTGTCCATGTGATGCTGATTTATTGTAGCTACACGTTTCTTATTTCCATTCTTCTCAAAGCTGACACAGAAATATGGAACAGGGCATGGTAATATTGAAAACCCGAAGACATTAAATCCTCTTAATGCATCTCCTGCAAATATGAGACGTGCTTACAATGGAAGGAAATCCTACACGTATGCACCAACAGGATATCAACCTAAAGCAAAAATCGTTTAAATTTGGTTGAAAAGTTGAAAACTGCTTCAGTGTCTGTACAATCCAATAAACCCTTTCTAGACGTAACAGACACTCACTAGACGCGAGGCAGGCTGATAAGGGGTCTAGAGACTGGTTGAATTGTCGATGTATTGTGATTTGCATGTCAAGATTGTAATTGTACTGACAAGCATAAATATCTACAGGCAAAATATTGACTGTATATCCATTCTATTCTATATTAAATTCAGTAAATGTATTGATCAGGGTTAGTATGGAATTCTAGAAGGAACATTTTGACCTTGGGAAAAAATGACGTGTTGTCGCCTAATGGTAAAAGTAAAAAATAGTTTTCATAGCGCGACAATGCGACAAATAGTCAAAATGTCGCACTGTCGCGCTTTGGCTCATTATGACACTTTTTCCTTGTTTTTGTAAGGGCGACAACGCAATAATGCCCTTTCTAGGATTCCATAGGTTAGAATTGGTCTTCGGCAACACATATTTGTCGTAAGAGGTGACTAATGGGTTCGGGTGGTCAGGCTCGCTGCCTTGGTTCATGCATGTCATCGTGTCCCAATTGCTTACATAGGAGGTCATGATGTCAATCACTTGATTGTCTGGTCCAGATTCGATTATTTACAGATCGTCGTCACATAGCTGAAATATTGCTTGGAATTAAACAACAAACAAACACACAAAGTAAATATATTACTCATGTACTTTCGTTGGTGGATTCCCTATTTTGGCATCTACAGTTGTTCATGTGTTCATGTCCAATAATGCCGCTAAATAGAGGATATTTTGATATGCAAATAAGAACAAAAAGATGTGTATCATATGATTTTGCTATATCATGCCAATTTACAATTTTTTCTATGAAAAACCAATGACGATACGATTTTTTTTAGCGCAAATCGATTTTTAAAGCATACCTGTCTTCACACTGTGACGCTACAGGACATCGTCCTAATTGTGGAAGGTCCTTCACAACATTGGTTTGATCAGTTTTTCTCACCCATCAGCTGATTACTGTGCAACAGTTGTCAAGTTGACGATAGTTTTAAATGACAACCCTGTGGAATGCATGCCGATTATGTGCCACTATTTTGAAGAACGGTTCGTATTAACATGTTCGACTATTAAACACTGATATTATACAGCCGCTTCTGGAAGCAACCCTTTGCAGAATGTTGAGACGCAGATGTTTTGTAGTGAAATATTTTCATTTTACAGATGCTTCTTTGGCAATTTTTAATGCAAAGGAGCAGATATTTTAATACTGATGTTTTCATGGAGACTCACTTTGTAACGAACATTTGCTGCTTGAAGAGTCTCATACGTCTTTTAGCTTCTTAAAACAGATTTGTACATACTACTATGTACATATCTTATACTGTAGGCATATTTATTAGAATGCATATCTTCGCGTGTAATATCCATGTGCGTGACACTTTAATAAATTATTTACAAGCACATGTTCAAGTACACAACAGTGGCATTTGCCCTCGAAGCCATAGGCTGTCATGTAGCTTCATTATCGTAATTAGTTATATCACTGAACATTGGTCAAAGGTTTATTCAGTAAAGTAAAAATTGAAATGGGCTTCACACATTGTACCCATGTCGGGAATCGAACCCGGGTCCTCGGCGTTTTGCTAATGAGTGAAGTCATACTTTTATATATAGGCGTTATTGTGAGAACATAAGTTCTTGAAATGCATGACGTTGTTACCTGTTATTTAGTGTATGCTATTTTTCAGAATCTTCAGTCGTCATATCACCGACATTGAAAATAACCATCGTTGTTCCGACACAAGATATGTATGCAATGGAGGATAAGAGAAAAACGTTTTCTGTGATGAGTAACGCATGACAGTCAACGTGCGAGATAATAATTACTTGAATACTTAAAGAAACACATTAAAAAGAAAACACATAAGTGGCATAGTCAAGTGGACTAAATACATTCACATGCATTCTTTTGAATACGAACCTCAATTGTACAAAGCTCAGTTTGCAGGTAAATGAGGGAAGACAATTGCATGCTGGCCATGGTATCTGTAATCTAGAGGAATCGATTGAAACAACATTGTTACATTCTTATGGTGTGGTACAGTTTATTAAATTACATTTAAGTACATCCCTCTTACTGATACATGTAGTTGCCCCGGATATTACCTTACATGTGTGGGTTTCAGGTTTGTTCATGTTGGCATAAATATAAACAGTTTGTCATTCAGAAGAAACCCAAGAAAAGTCGTAGAATGAAACCTATAGGGTTATTTCAGTATTGAATATTGGCATGGATGTTTACAAACTTACGGGAACTTCCTCTTTAAAAGGTTTGTAAATATTATTGAATGGAGTGATTGCAATGATGTCTTGTTCTTGTGTGTGTGGGGTGGGGGTGGGGGTGGGGTGGGGGTGGGTGGGGTGGGGGGGGGGGGGGGTGGGGGGATCCCAGTCGTCTAAGGCGCCGAGATTCGCTGTGCAGAGTTGCGTCCCTTGGGCACACCAGAAACCTATGATTGTGGGTTCGAATCCCGATTCGTCCGGATTATGTTTCTAGGTTTGTCAGCACCATACCCGTGCTCTTGGGTTTCACCGAAGTGGTAAACGTCTGAGACCTGCATCACTTCGGGCTTTCCTCCCACATTAAGCTGACACGCCGTGATATAACTGGAATTATGTTAAAAGCGGCGTTAAACCCAACTCACTCACTCACTCTTGTTCTTGTTATGGTAGTCTATTGAATGTTTTGGGTTGAGTTCGGTTGAATGTAGAATGTATGATTCTTGTATAGAAAATTGAATGTTTTAATCCCGGCTGAATGCATGGTGTCTGGTTCTTGTATAGAATATTTAATGTTTTTATCACGGTTGAATGCTTGCTGTCTGGTTCTTGTATAGAAAATTGAATGTTTTTATCTCGGTTGAATGCTTGCTGTCTGGTTCTTGTATAGAAAATTGATTGTTTTTATCACGGGTGAATGCTTGCTGTCTGGTTCTTGTATAGAAAATTGAATGTTTTTATCACGTTTGAATGCTTCCTGTCTGGTTCTTGTATAGAAAATTTATTGTTTTTATCACGGTTGAATGCTTGCTGTCTGGTTCTTGTATAGAAAATTGAATGTTTTTATCTCGGTTGAATGCTTGCTGTCTGCTTCTCGTAGAGAAAATTGAATGTTTTTATCTCGGTTGACTGCTTGCTGTCTGGTTCTTGTATGGAAAATTGAATGTTTTTATCTCGGTTGAATGCTTGCTGTCTGGTTCTTGTATAGAAAATTGAATGTTTTTATCACGTTTGAATGCTTGCTGTCTGGTTCTTGTATAGAAAATTGAATGTTTTTATCTCGGTTGAATGCTTGCTGTCTGGTTCTTGTATAGAAAATTGAATGTTTTTATCACGGGTGAATGTTGTCTGTCTGGTTCTTGTATAGAAAATTGAATGTTTTTATCACGTTTGGATGCTTGCTGTCTGGTTCTTGTATAGAAAATTGAATGTTTTTATCTCGGTTGAATGCTTGCTGTCTGCTTCTCGTATAGAAAATTGAATGTTTTTATCTCGGTTGACTGCTTGCTGTCTGGTTCTTGTATGGAAAATTGAATGTTTTTATCACGGGTGAATGTTTGCTGTCTGGTTCTTGTATAGAAAATTGAATGTTTTTATCACGTTTGAATGCTTCCTGTCTGGTTCTTGTATAGAAAATTGAATGTTTTTATCTCGGTTGAATGCTTGCTGTCTGGTTCTTGTATAGAAAATTGAATGTTTTTATCACGGGTGAATGTTGTCTGTCTGGTTCTTGTATAGAAAATTGAATGTTTTTATCACGTTTGGATGCTTGCTGTCTGGTTCTTGTATAGAAAATTGAATGTTTTTATCTCGGTTGAATGCTTGCTGTCTGCTTCTCGTATAGAAAATTGAATGTTTTTATCTCGGTTGACTGCTTGCTGTCTGGTTCTTGTATGGAAAATTGAATGTTTTTATCACGGGTGAATGTTTGCTGTCTGGTTCTTGTATAGAAAATTGAATGTTTTTATCACGTTTGAATGCTTCCTGTCTGGTTCTTGTATAGAAAATTGAATGTTTTTATCTCGGTTGAATGCTTGCTGTCTGGTTCTTGTATAGAAAATTGAATGTTTTTATCACGGGTGAATGTTGTCTGTCTGGTTCTTGTATAGAAAATTGAATGTTTTTATCACGTTTGGATGCTTGCTGTCTGGTTCTTGTATAGAAAATTGAATGTTTTTATCTCGGTTGAATGCTTGCTGTCTGGTTCTTGTATAGAAAATTGAATGTTTTTATCACGTTTGAATGCTTGCTGTCTGGTTCTTGTATAGAAAATTGAATGTTTTTATCTCGGTTGAATGCTTGCTGTCTGGTTCTTGTATAGAAAATTTATTGTTTTTATCACGGGTGAATGTTGTCTGTCTGGTTCTTGTATAGAAAATTGAATGTTTTAATCTCGGTTGAATGCTTGCTGTCTGGTTCTTGTATAGAAAATTTATTGTTTTTATCACGGTTGAATGCTTGCTGTCTGGTTCTTGTATAGAAAATTTATTGTTTTTATCACGGTTGAATGCTTGCTGTCTGGTTCTTGTATAGAAAATTTATTGTTTTTATCACGGTTGAATGCTTGTTGTCTGGTTCTTGTATAGATAATTGAATGCTTTTATCACGGTTGAATGCTTGCTGTCTGGTTCTCGTAGAGAAAATTGAATGTTTTTATCTCGGGTGATTGCACGATATCTAGTTCTTGTATGGAATACTGAATGTTTTAATCCTGAGTGTTTAACTTTTGAATGTTTTTATCCCGCGGCGTATGCATGACGTCTGGTTCTTGTATAGAGTGCTGAATGTTTTAATTACGGGTGAATGCAGACTGTCTGGTTTTGGTATAGAATATTTGATGTTTTAATCCAGCGTGACTGCATGCTGTCTGATTATTGTATACTATTGAATGTTTTAACTCCGGGTGAATGCATGAAATCTTGTTCTTGTAGACCATTGAATATTTTAATACACGTGATTGCATGATGTCTGGTCCTTGTGACATAGAAGTAGTGCTTGGAAAAATGCCTCTCTCGGGCGTCATAATATCAATTTTGTACCGGAATATTCCATCACCCTATGAAAGGAGAAATGTCAATTCTTGCCATGACATTATGGGTTCCTGCATTCTGATTGTTCCTCGGTGTACCTCAAACAGAAATTACCTATTTGAAAACGCTTCTTTATGAAAACCCATCAGTAGGCAATATCCAATATTAATTGAACTTAAACGACTTAAGGCATTAGACAAGTGTGACAATACATTACTCGTATTCAGTTACTCTTTGATTTATTTACAGGGTTAAAACGGGAAAGATGGCACGGAAAAGTAGAGATTTCATGTTGCACTTTGTGCGCGACTTAATGGACAAGACTGTGGACGAAGCTGACTTGATTCACTCTTTACGCCAGATCATGAGAAAGGACAAGGCGAAGAACAAAGACAAGGGTAAGAACAATGACATACTGTCAAGCTATAGATATAATGAGAAGGAGAAGAACAAGCATCAGAAATTATTAACGTCAGATTCAGGAGAGTCGGTGCTTCATATTGCCGTCAGCTGTAGAAGGAATAGAGTTGCCGAGGAAATAGTCGATTGTATTCCAAGTTTAATCAACTGTGAGAGGAAGGACGATGACTACCGTGGACAGACGCCATTCCACATTGTCATTGCCATGGCCCACAGTGAAACTACTGGTCAGCAAAAATTACTGGAACACATGATTAAAAAACTCAAACGTGAAGATGAACAGAATGATAGTCATCTGCTCAAAGAGGCGATCGAACGTCGAGTTGTAGGAAAGAAATTAAGAGGTACTGTGATGTTAGGAGGGACACCGTTGTCCATTGCTGCTTTGAATCATAACGAAAATATAGTTGACCTTCTCCTGGAAAATAAAGCTGATCTTTTAGGTTCAAACAGTTTTGGGAATACAGTTTTTCACTCGTTGGTCCTGTACGTATCTTTCTATCCAGGAAAAGAGAGTGACATCCTCAACATGTTTGACACGTTGGCACGAAAGAACAAACAGCATAAAGGTTTAAAGTATAACAGACAATATATACAACGAGAAAATGCTCGTAAACAAACAGCGCTCCATCTTGCTGCCGAGTTGGGTCTGGACAACGTGTTTAAACACATTCTTGATATGGAAGATGCATACAAGTTCTTCACTAGTCATGACGGTGTTTTTGATATCTACGAGTGTGATATAACAGAGATTGATAAGGTAACCTGGGATGAGGCTGTTCTGCAGATGTCACCTGACTACAGGAATACAGACCACAGAGCCGAGGGGCTGGCAAAAGGCAAAGAGGATTCAGGAATAAAAACCTATTGGAAGAGATTGAGACAAAATACGAACCAGAGTATTTTGGAAATCATATGCAGTTTGAAGACAACGACGGCTTATGCGTTTCTGAACGCCTACACGGTCCAAGAAGTGGTGTACTTAAAGTGGCAGAAGAACTGGCATTACTACTACATTGGCCTCTTTCTTCACCTGTCACTGATGAGTATCCTCACCTGGCATTTAGATCTCAAAGTTGATGCCATCCTGGATCCTGACCCGGCGCAGAAGCAGACCTTGAACCTCAGGGTTTTGAACATCATCTTTATCGTCATAAGTCTCCTTTATGTAATTCTAGAAATTCACAGGACATTCTTTTCGTGGCAACCATTCCATATAACAAGACTGCATCACAATGGAGTATACAGGTGCATATTTGTGCTGTTTGGTTTGGCATTACTGACAGACGCGTCGTGGAATGTTGTAACTGTTACAAACAACTACTGTCTGGTGATAGCATTGATCCTTGGTTGGTGGTCAACAATCTTCTTCCTCCGTGGAATCTCACCTTTCAGCTACGTTACTCTTATGTTACAGAAAGTCCTTTTTGGGGATATGCTGAAATTTATACCAATTATTTTCATAATGATGATAGCATTTACATGTGCAATGTACAGTTCGATGGCGATAACTCAACCTGACGCTTTTGGGAACTTCTCTACAAGTCTAGTGACGATGTTTAAACTGATGACTGGTCAGGCAGAGATAGATGGACTTGAGGGAGCATCACAGCATGGGTCTATCCCAGTTTTTGTCTTCTCTGTGATAGTCATCCAAATATTCCTCCTCAACATCCTCATCGCCATTATGTCCAGGACATGCGAAAGTGTTGAGAATTCAAATAAACTGTTGTGGCTACAGAGATTGTCCATTGTCTTATTCATTGAAGGTATACTGCCTAAATGTCTGAAGAAGGCCATGGGGACAGAGCAAAAGACAGATTATGGCAGTACGAGATATCTCCTCATAATTGACCGTTTGAGAGACGGAGACTCAATGTTCAACAACATGTTTGAAGAAAATGGCAGTTTGAATGCTACATCACTGCGCAACTTTATAAACAACCGTAAAATAGGGGAGGCAACAACACTCCCTGGCACAAACCACAATCCCGGACCACAAACTATCCAGCATCTATATATTGATGACTATTTGAAGAGTACATAAATAAATGAAGACATCATCGTAAAAGTGACAAGCCACATACGAAGTGTAACTCAGGATCATTGTCAAAAACCTATATATGGCTAAACACATGAAGGATCGTGGACTTCGTTCAAGTAAAGGGTACAACCAATTGCCTTTTAAACAACCGTTAATGTTCGGCACATTATAAAAATATTATCTCTAGAAAAGGTGAGGTGAGACAATTCACGCCTTTTACTTACACATTTGTTATTGTAAGGTTTGTGGAACAGTCTACTTGCTTCAAAATGTGGTGTTTACGAATCCGGAAATGTTCTAGACTTATCACTAGGCAGAATATTTCATGTTAGCTATTTGAATCTCATCTCAAGGTTTGATATCCATGGTAGTTGTGAAAACGTCATGAAACATGTACTATACTTCAATATATCAACTGCGGGTAGATTTACGGGGAACATTTTGTATATTTATTATCTGGATTTAGGACGTCGCTGTGCTCACAAATGACGTCATCGACTTTCACCTAGGAAGATGTGAACAGAAAATTACCACTATTTGTTTATTTACTATGCCGAAAACTAGCATTGTTACGCCATTGATATCAAATGGAAAACTTGTAAACAATATGCAAAGATGTTGGGGTTTAACTTTACGGTTTCACCTGCAGCTGAAAGAACTATTTATGGAAATGATAACAATTATTATTGTCATTTTGTCATGTATATCCTGTGCGATTTCCAAATCAATACATATTATGGATGTCAGCTGTAACTTGTTTTACTTTATTCCTGTAAATATTCACCAAATACCGCCTGTCTGAACTTGTTGTGTTTCATCTGCAGCGAGGGGGGAGGGGGGGGGGGGGGGGGGGGGTCTGTAGGACGGGTAGTCCAGTCGTCTAAGGCGCCGCAACTAGCTGTGCAGAGTTGCGTCCTTTGGGCACGTCGTTTTTGCCTGGGCTGGGCTGTCTACTCGCTTCTTGCAAACACAAGGACAAATTGATGACAGTGACTGTTGTACGGCAGCAAATGCACTATCTGTATTGAAGTGCAAGTTGTCGTCGGACTTATGTCATAGTGTTGACACTCCTTTTTATGATTTTCGCTAAGATTTACTCATTAGCTTTGTATACGTATTCACGTTGTCGATACGTTTTATTACCATGTGTGTTTGAGCTGGAAACGCCGCTCATCGTTGTGCTTGTGATGTCTGAGAAGTGATTAGGTTCATCATGTATTTGTTGTGTATTGTTAACATGATGTTTCAATGTCATGGAACGGGATGCCGATGTTGTATATCCTATCCCGGAAGAGCTAATGACCTGAAGACTGCTTGGGGACAGAGGGTGGAAAACAGGGGTGGTATGATTAAACTGTTTAAAAGTGACAGATACTTTAGTCGATTACGACTAGTTGATATTGAGACGTAATCGTCTATTTTGTAGTCCAAGTGACTCATTTTAGGGATGAGCTCTCGGTGTTTATTTCCCCCTTACTATTCACTAATTAGAGGGTGGAGTTAATTAACTCATGTGTTAATTGGTCGCAGCCGACTTAACTGACAGTCTACGCACCTGGTCCGTATCTTGTCAAAGTGTTGTTTTAGCTAGCCTCCTTTTTATAGCTGTAATAGAGTTGTTTGGCTAAAACTTGGTTGCATATTTGAGCTGATAGAACTAACTTGTGATCTGTGTGAGCGCAAATGTATGATTAAATGTTTACTATTAGTACAATTAGTAGTTATTTAATAAACCTGTGATCGTATTACCACGTTTTCTTTATCACTTTGTTCTTATTTTATGACACCCCTGATCATTGGTGCACAGCTCCGTGACAGATTGGAAAAGGTGTTCTCCAGTATTCTTAAAGGGGCACTGATCTAACGCATTTCCCCGGGACTGGTTGTTGCCTTTGTTATTGTTTTTTCCCAGTGAGTACCCGGATGTATAGCAGAAATTTAGACTAGTTCGCGACCTCTGCTGCGCCATTCGTAAGCGCATTAGTCACTTTTATGGGTAGTAATAAGGGCGTATGGTCACATTGATCAACAAAATGAAATACAGTTTTCGAGATAATAAGGAAATGTAGGTATCTTTGTGAGTAGCATCGGTAATGGTGACGACGTTTTGATAAGTCACTTGCTTGGTAATTTTGCGATTTTCGTTTACACTATTTTGACTTGCAACACAAAGTATATATTTCACCTGAGCATATGCTTTTTTTATAGTGTGTATATTTTTTACTGTCAAAATGTGTAACAAATTTATTAAACGTCTTAATATTCAGTTATTTTACAAAGTGACTGAAAAACACTTTCATCTGTATTATTATGACAACGAATTCCAAACATTTTGATGTTTAATGTCATCACCAAGAGACTGAAAATGTAACGTTGAAAAGTACATTTCTAAGTTGTTTGGCTTTTAATCCTACATAATAATCTGTTGTGATGTTTGTAGGCCCTTTTGATCGTCTTGATCAATCTGGACAGATTTTTTAGTCAAAATGACTGAAATATTTACACATTTTATAAATTGCCTGAGAGAATCACATTTCACAAATTGACGGTAATATATACACGCTTACAAAGGAAAAGACCTGTGACAACAACGACTCGCGCATTGAAGAATTTACCAACCAAGACGTAGAGAAACAAGGACGAATCGGTTCAAATGAAGGAAAACAAAATGCAGATATCATAATTACAACCTACCAAATTTATGTGTATAAGTTTTAGGCAGCTTCCTTGTTCGAGGAATGTATCCGTGAATATCCACACAAAGGAACAATATCCCACTCGTCTGCAGCTGTACAAAGAAACTTATTCGATGTCACGTGTCTCAGTAACAATCAAATATTTTAAAAGATATATATCGTTTCGGGATATTATAACCCGTGTTCGTTTCTCAACTGATGGCTTGGATTGTTTCAGGTGTTTTACAGAGGTGTCAAGTCTCAATGGTCGGCTGAGAAAGCCCACGTGACAACTATTTTCATAGCGTCCACGGTTCCTAAAAATTCCATTGAGTGATAGATAACAATGATCAATCAATCAACGTATTATCAGTTAACCCTTTGAACAAAGTAAGTTGTTTTTACATCGGCACTTCGCGCCATGATATGAGTGTATTCCCTTTGTTTTAGTAAACCTAGACATGTAAACACTCACTCTTGACATATCCATTGTGCAAGATAACAGTGATTAATCAATCAACGTATTTTCTGTTAATCCTTTGATGACTAGGAACGATCCGTTGATTTACAAAAAAAGTAAATCAACTGATCATTCATCTCTTGCTGGGCTGCCACGTGCATATTACGTAACACACATTTCACCTCACTTCAAACCTGGATTTAGATTGAATAATTACCCCAGACACAATAAATGCCAAATGGGAACCTTTGTCAGGTAATATAAGTGGTGCTACCACTAATTGTACCTGTAATAAATTCATTAACTGAGCATCAAGTGAATGACGACAAATACACAAGTGTAGGGTTATACGTGAAAACGTGGATGACAACAAGGGAGTAGTAATCGTATTATCGACGCAAGCCGAAATCCGAAAATGCTTTCACTGCATGGATACTGTTTTTAGTATTAAACTATAACCATCTGGGGTATTTCCAAATGACGACATCCGATGAGCTCCCTTGTTCTTTTTGTCTGTTTGATTAGGCTGAAGAAATGAATTAACAAGCGCCCTTTGTCGAAATCTTTATAGATCACAGTTAACCAATCAGTGTTCAAAAATGCGTAAAACAAATATTGCCTCCAGCCTCCAAGTTTATTTAGCCGTCCTTGCAGACGGAAGCCCAGTCTCTGGTCACGCTCAGTTGCGTTGCGTATCATCCGGGTACTCACGGGGGGAAAACAATAACAAAGGCAACAACCAGTCCGTTAGATCAGTGCCCCTTTAACGCTAGATAACAACTTTGTGATACACACTATTATGCATATCTTTGCACGTTTATTGATTTTACCAATGCTTCGATATATGTGGAGAAAAGGTGTAATGTTTAAACCATGACAAATGGTATATATTAACAACATGTCACACTTGTCGAAAATATGTACAGCCAAATCAGGCAAAGTGGTAATATTGTACTAGGACAATTAGCCAATTAGGAGAACTCGTTCCACGTTTTCTTCAATATTTTGTAATGACGTTGAGACAAGTACGATGGAGATTTCTTATGATTTTGGAAAGGGTTTTTATCGTTTTTATTTAAACTCTCGAGAAGAACACGCGATAATTGGTGCAGGAACGTGACTTCCGGAACACCCACAAGAGAATTGAGTGCTGTGACATGTGTACCATGTACATCTGTTCACGGGAAGACGCCATCTTGGAAAAGAAGAATACCTCAAGCAACGATAGAACTTAGCAGCTCTGTCACCAGATGACGGGTGGTTGTCGATGGTATTCTGGAACGAAGACTCCAACATTACCGTCGTGACCGAACAGGGTTCCCCGAGAGTGGCAAGTCTGTTTGCTGATGCCCTGGAGAACTGATAAAGCCAAATTGCCCCATGTGTCATTTTCAAAAGAGTTTATACCCAGCATCACTATTGTCTCCTTTAACTTGAAATATAGTCTGGAAGTTAAGTTAAGGTACCGACGTTTACTACAATATCTGAAAAACTATTGGACCTACTCCAGTCAAAGTTGGTATGAGATTATTAAACAGTCATACATAACTAGATATTACATTTAAAGACAACCGGTGCATGAATAAAAAATTCTGTCTATTTAGCTATCACTATATTTCATCAACAACCAGACCTGTTCGTCACGGGTGGAACGAGCATTCATTGTAACAGCAATCTGCATAATGCTACCCCTGCGTCACAGGGCTATATGACACAGTTGAACCAATCAACTCAACTCGAAAGGTTGCACGGGAATCACGCACGAATACGGTGTTAGCATTAGATTTCATGATGTCTTAGCGCAAGCATCTTTCCGCTGATGCGAAAGGTTTCGTTGTTAAAATATTTGAATACCTTAAGGCTGAAACTGAAAGACGTTCGCCCTTCTTTGACATTTCAAAGTACATGAAAAGAACAATTCATGCGTTACAGCTTCCCTAATAAACCGTAGTTAAGATTTTGAACTCTCATAAAAACACATGCTCCCCTGCACATCCCTTAGGGGGCATCTCAAAACAGGATAGGAAATTAAAGTTAGAT